ATCTTGTACGTCTCTCTCTATCATAACTTTTTAATTTTTATCAATACATTTTGGTCAAGTTATAAATCATTTTTGTTTTCCTTTTCTTAATGCATTATTTTTGTTCCTATAATTAGCTAGGTGCTTGTATGAATAATTTGTGTATATGTTTTAATGTAGTGGAACATTGCATAGGAAATGAGGAGATCAAAACATCAATTATTTCTACAAAGTTTCCGAGAGAATGCATCAAGAGATGCTGATATACCAATTCATAGATCCCCATACAATAATCATATTGAGATTCCGCCCCCAAAATCAATACAAAGGGAGTAAAGTCAGCCTATTAATACAGATTTGGTAACCAACATGCCTACTAATAATAGAAATGAAGCTTTAAGTTCGGAAGGTCTTGTTGCAACAAATTTACAAAGAGATACCCCTTCCATTAGTACAATTGGTAGTTCTACTGGTTCAGTTCCTACAGGTAAATTTTACATGAATAAAGTTTCACAATTCATATCTATATCATTTTTAAGTATGATACTATAATATGTGTTATTTATTTTGGTACAATTTCTGATAATAAAAGAAAACAAAATTGAGGTCGAGGGCATATAATCCTTAGAAACATTGTAAAACTACACAACGATCAAAGGATTAAATTATAATGAAATGATGATTTACAACCTATAGGGGAACATAAAGAAAATTTTGTAAATTATATAGGAATACAAGCAAGGAATGGGAGACTTGTACCTATCCATTATGTGGATTGGCATGAAGATCCTCAAAGGCATAAGGATGAAGTATGGCAAGTGATCCAGGTAATATTATCAATATACATAATACATATAAAATCATTTTTTCTTTTATATGCTGCCTTACCAATCTAAAATTAATATACTTTAATTTTATAATTTATTAACTAATTGCAGAAGAAGTTTGAACTTGAAGAAAAACATAAGGATTGAGTCATGAGAAAGATTGGAGATAGGTGGATGGCATACAGGAATAGAATAAAGGTGAAGTATTGTGACAAATATGAAATTAATGAGGAAAGAATTGGTTAAGTATTTTTCAAGTGATTTATTTGAGGTAAGTTGTAGTATCAAACATTTTTATGTATCTAGTCTTAATTATTATTCTTATTTTAAATAATGCATTTACATGAATGCATAATGCAGGCTCGAAGTGGAAGAGGTAAATCAAACCGAGCAAAGCATACTATGGTTCATGTTTCTAGTTCAAAGTCTTTTGTGAAAATCCAAGAAGAATTGGTAATTTCCATTTATAATTGAAATGGATTAAATTAAATTTGCATTCATTAGTTGTAAACTTATAATTATTGTATGTTAAAAAATAAGAAAAATAAGCATCCAGAAAAAAGGGAACCTATGCGAACAGAGATATTTAGAGCCACACGTAAAAGAAAGAATTGAGATGTTCCAAATAAAGATATTGCTCATGCTATTGTAAGTATTGTTGTTACATTATTATTATTATTATTATTATTATTAAATTTATGTATATAAAATTAAAAAAAAATTTTAAAGTTTAATTTATATTGTAGAGAAATTTAGAAGAGATAGAGATGGATAGAGAAAGTTCACAAATTAGCAATGGGCATTAGGATTCTATTTCTCAAGTACTTGGTCCAGAGTATAGTGGGTATGTTCAGTTTGGATTTGGACCAACTCGATCAAAACTTTGGGGCATAAAAGGAGAAAATGATAGATTGATAATGGAAAATTAAAAGTTACACAAGCAATTAGAGGAGAAAAGACCAAAAAGAGAACAATTAAAGAAACAAAAAGATCAAATGCAATTGGTCATGACTTCATCATTGGCTAATCTTGCTTAAAATGGAACTATCGACTTGTCAAATATTTTACCTGGATCAACTTTAGTATCACATGTATTTTTTCTAATTTGATTTATTTAAAGTTTAAATTAAGTAGTTTTTAAGATCATGATTAATAAAATTATTTATACATTATATTTTGCAGGAGAATAATAATGAGGGTGTTAGTGCTTCTGAAAATCAAACACTAAGAGAACAAATTTGATGAGAATAAATATCCTTTGAGACTAGCATTTTTTATTTAAGTGTTACTTTTTTTTTGTATATAAACTTTTTGAATTTTAATTTATGATGATTTGAATATGTTATCTTTTAGGAACCAATGAATATATACTTATGTGATGGATGGATTTAATGGATTTAAGATTGTCCATTGATTGAATTGAATGAACAAATGAATGGCTATAATAAATTATATGTAAAATATGTTATATGGATGTAATGTAATGAAACTAATATTGATAATTGTTCTAATTATGTGATCATTGGCAACAATCATATTTACTTTTAAATACGTGCAAAGTTTTTATTAACCACAATTTGCAAATTATTTACAACAATTAAAGATATTAATAACAACACCTAAATTAATCTTGATAACCATTTTTAATTGTAATTAAATGCATTGAAGAGTAATTAGTGAAATTGGTAACAATTATTCACCTGTTGCTAATTTAACAATAGTCTATAATTACTGTTGCTAAAATTATTGTAGGCAATAATTGCAGAATTGTTGCTAACTATATTCACAACAATTAATTAGAATTGTTTTCTCAACAATTCATAACAATTACATGATTGTTTTTATTTCAATGAGAATTGTTACAAAAGATAGTTATAAGCAATAATTGATCAATTGTTGCTTATGTTTTAGCAACAATTAATGTGCTTGTTTCTACTGACATATATGACTACAGTTAGTATATTGTTGCAAAAAATACTTTTTAGCTACAATCAATAGTAACTGTTCCAAATAATGTATATTGGCCCACTATTGGTTTCATTGTTGCAAAAAGGCAATCTTAGCAATAATTATATCAATTGTTGCTATACATCGTCATTAGCAACAATTGATTGTAATTAAAAACTTTTAACCACAGCACTATCAGCAACAACCAACCTAGTTGTAACTAAAACCTTTAGGAATAGTTTTTTAGCATTCAGCAACAAAGTTGTGAGTGTTGTTAAAGGCCAATTTTCTTGTAGTGTCTTGATTTGAATCCTTTTCCGTCATCGACAAGAAAGACCTTGAATGGAACCGAAAACACTGTGTTCACTATTATTGATCAGATCTTCTCTTTCAGTGATCAGAATTCACCATTTTACCTCCATCCTTCTAACAACCCTAGTACAGTGCTTGTCTCTTGTATTATAAATGGAGACAATTATATGACTTGGAAAAGAGCTATGATTAATGTTCTCAGCACCAAGAAGAATATTGGCTTCGTGAATGGAATGACTCAGAAGCTAGATCCGATGAATAGGCAAAGTTGTTCACTTGGTTGAAATGTAATCCCATGGTAATGTCATGGATCTTCAATGCCTTAGCCAAAGACCTCCACGAAAGCCTATGCTGAAAAATGCCCAAGAAATGTGGAAAGATTTGGAGGAAAGGTTCTCACAATGAAACACATCAAGAATCTTTCATCTCAAGCGAGAACTCATGTTGATCAGGTAAGAAAATCTCCCTATCTCTATTTACTTCTCAAAACTCAAGGCAATTTGGAATGAATTATCAACCTACATTGCTGGACCATTATGTACCTGTGGATTGTGTACTTGTGGAGTCTAGAAAAAATTTGTTACAGGAAAGGAAAGAGATAAAGTGTATCAATTCTTGCTAGGTCTAAATGAAAATTTTAACAACATCAGATCGAGCATTTTGAGCATGGACCCTCTGTTGAGAATTAGTAGGATTTATGCATTTGTATCACAAGAAGAAAGACATCAGTCCTTAAGTGCTCAACATGGTCCAACTACAGAAGTTGTTGCTTTTCATGTGGCAGGTCCAAGATTCAATTCGAAAGGAGGAAAATAAAGGTTCAAGATTCGCTGTGAGTACTACAAGAAACAAGGTCACACTAAGGATCGCAACATTGAATTGTTCGGTTATCCACCAAATTGGGGAAGTCAATCAAAGTCCACATTTGTTAGCACCCGATTTTTTCTCGGTTCGTCGCCTAAACCTCCGATTTACCTTAAACACCCGAAACAGACCCTTTTGGTCCATCTGAAACACCCAAAAACCTAAAAAACCCGAATTTCACCCTGAAAAGCCCTTAGATCCACCGTTAAACCTACCCAATACTTATCCGATGGCCCAGATCAACCCCATCTACGCTTTGGCCCTCAAATCAGACACATCAAAACACCTTTCCATAAAGTTTTAACCCCAGATTCCCTTATTTGCCCTTCCAACAAACCAAGATTTCATTCTGAAACAACCCATTGACCCAAATCCCTATGATCTTGATTCCCCAAGACTGATCAGACCTCATCATCATATCCCAGACACCCCCAAATACCCACCTGTGAAATCTCAACCCAAAACACCTTCGTTTACCTTTCAATTGTATCAAGATTCCATTTCAAGGTCCTAGATTGACTAGATTCCAAGTCCTTTCTTTCCAGGCCCATTTGACTCAATTTGACCTTACTAATCATCTTAGATTACCCAAAAACCTACCCTATGAAATTTCATCCAAAACAAACCTTATTTGCCCCTCGATCAGACAAAGATTCTATTTCGAGCTTTTAGATTAACCAAATCGAGCCCTTTCCCGATCTGCCCAATCCGGGCCTAATTGGGCCAATCCAACCCTACCAATCAACTCAGATTGTCCAAAAACCCCACCTTGCCAAATTTCAACAAAAAATACCCTCACTCACCCCTTCATCCAAATAGGTTCTGTTTTAACTAATCCTGTTGGCCCACATTTGCAAAACCCCTCACTCGGTAGTCAAACCCATCTTAACCCTCCATTTTGGCCCTATAATCCCCCACCATTGAACCAAAAGACCCGGTTTGACCTTCCTAGACCCGGTTTGACCTAAATGTCTCCAAATTACCAAAATACCCCCATACTTCACTAGATTTACGAAAATGCCCCTGGCATTCTTTAAAAGTAGTTGAATGTCTCATGTTCGCCCTAAGCAGAGAGATGGTTTTACTGTAGACCGTCTTCCTCCCTTGATCACAAAATAGTAGCGGCGGCGAACCTAGAGTCAATCTCCCACTTCCGACCACTTCTCTCTCTCTCTCTCTCTCTCAATCCCTCTAACTTCTTCCTCTCCTCCCCTTTATTCCCCCATCGAATCAGTCAAAGTCATCGAAATCGACTATTCACTCCCTTCCTCCCTTAGACACACAGTGAAAGAGCAGAGTAGCGGTAGCAGTGACCTCAATGATCTTCATCCGGATTCCGGCGGTTCGCTATCATCTTCCAGGGTGCACAATACTCTAGAAGTCCTCATTGGCCTTCCTCGTCAGTGTTGATTCCTCAAACGTAGTGGTACCCCCTATTTTCACCGACATGATACGGTTATTGGCAATGGTGGTTTGAGTTTTCCTCATGATACCGAACTACTCTCCCGGTCCAGATCTATCTTTCCACAATTCTCTCGTCCTGTTTCCAGAGTTAGCTGTTATCTAAAAACAAACGACAGAGACAGAGTTAGCTGAGTTGTCATTTGCAACATCAACCAAGTTCAGGTCAATATCTAGTCCAGAGCCACTATCGAGTTAATTCCTGCAAAATATTGGGCATCCTTTCAATTTTGTATAGCTCGTCTTCGTGTTGTGCATGCATTACTTTGTTGTCTTCTCTGTAGCTTCTTGTTTCCTATAACAGCCTATCCATAGATATGAAACCGGTCTCTCCTTAGTTTACTAATTTTTATTTTCTCATCGAAAATATTCTATAAACTTATGATGTTATTGTTGGTTTCATTGTTGAAGTTCTAAGTTTGTTCAAATTGAAGAGAAAGTGTTCTCAGTCCTAGCCTTTCGGTTGCTCTAGCAACTAGTGTCTGTCATCTCGCCATGTTTAAGATGTATGCATTATATGCTTTGTTCCTTTCATCATTGATGATTAGTTTCGGTATTTGTTTTTATTCTGAAGATAGGATTGAATGGTTATCGGGTTATCCCTCTTAAGACTGAAATGAGGAGAGAAATTATTTGTTATCTGGTGAGAGAGAAATATGCAGGTTAGAGTGCAAGAGAAAATGAATGATAGGGAATGAAGTGTTAATAGAATAGAGTAAGAGAGTATTTGGTCGAGAGCACAAATTAATTCAATAAAAAGGGAAAACAAAAAGTAAAGATTAAAAAAATATAATAACATTAAATAAACTAGGCAAATGAAAGGGGAGGATGTCGATTACAGAAAATAAAATCCCTTAAAAGAAAGAGGGGAAAGAAAAATAAAAAGAAATGAAGAAAAATATAAAAAAAGTTAAAAGATTTGCAATAATGGACTTGATCAGTAAATCTCGTTTTTAGCTTGAGAAGTAGGACTTTTTTGCAGGGAGATTAAGATACAAAAAAAGGGAAAATTCTCCTTGTTTTGTATTGTTCTTGTGGCTTGCTTTCTTTATTGTTGATTTGTTAAAGTAGTAGTCGCTTATCTTGTGTTTATGCTTCATTTTGGAATCCCATGTAGGCCCCACCTATTGGACTCAGGAGAGGGGTGTCTTAACCCCTTCCCTCTCCCATCCGAGTCTTACTCAGACTGGTTAGCCGGTGCCTTGGGTTTTGGAGTCACAAATGAACAAAAAAATGCTTTTCGATGTAAATCTCGGATGTCCCATCACCTCTATTTCCATAACTGATGGATGGCAACTCCATTTCCAGCCCAAGTGAGCCATTTTCTGACACTCACAACATCCAAGAACGACACTAGCAATCAAGAAAAGTTTACTGCTAGCACGAGCTCAGTCCAAGCGGCTTCTCTGATTTTCAGCTTGTCCAAGGAATAGTATCAACAGTTATTAAGCACCATCGGGAGTCTGTCTGATCTTCTGAACAATGATAAACATACTTTCTCAGCCAACTTTGCAGGTAAAATCACTACCTCTTCTTGGCTTTTCGATAGTGGGGCCTCATATCACATGGTTCCCGCTAACTCTGAATTTGCTACTGCATCTATTACATCAGCACTGAAACTAGTTCAATTGCCAAATGGAACATTATTACCAATTCAATCACAAAGTGACATAGCGTTGTGCCATATTGTTCTTTCTTACTTTCTATGCTCTTCAGGACCTGACATCTAAGAAGTTGATTGGTGTGGGCCTAATGTGTGATGCGTTGTATCACTTCACTTCCCTTCCACCATCCTTCTCCTTGCACAATACCCGCACACATGATCCATGCATATGGCATTCAAGGTTGGTCCATGCTCCTTTTAAGAAACTTGCTATGATTCCTAAACTGCACATTACTGTACCTGATAATGATTGTTGTGACACATACTTTCGAGCAAAACAAACACGTCTTTCTTTTCCTATTAGTCATACCAGATTTGATGCATTGTTTACACTCATACATTGTGATATTTGGGGAGGTTATCGCACCCCGTCCCATTTTGGAGCTCATTATTTCTTAGCAATTGTAGATTATTGTACTTGATCTATACATGGGTGTATTTGTTACGATATAAATCAGATGCTTGTTCCTTTTTTGTAATGTTTTTTGAAATGATCAAAACACAGTTCAATGCTTAAGTTAAGTATATACGTTTGGACAATGGGTCCGAATTTCTCCCTAGACCTTTCCAAGATTACTTGACAGTACATGGAATTTTACATCAAACATCTTGTATAAACACCCCTCAACAGAATGGGGTCGTTGAGCGCAAGCATCAACACCTACTTGAGATAGCAAGGGCCTTACCAATCGAGTTCTTGAGAGAATGTATTTTGAGAGAATGTATTTTGACAATAGCTTACATCATTAATCACTTGCCAACTCCAATACTTGTTTGGAAATTGCCATATGAACTTCTTTTCTGCAAGCCTCTTTCAAATAGTCATTTCCATACATTTGGCTGCCTCTTCTATGCAAGTACATCCCGACGTGGGCATGATAAATTTGATGCTGGTGCCACTAAATGTGTGTTTGTTGGATATCCTAATGGTCAAAAATGATACAGATTATATGATTTGGCTACTAAGCGGATATTTGTGTCTAGAGATGTGATTTTCCTTGAACACAAATTTCCTTTTGCTGATGGTGACATGCCTTTGGACCCATCTCCACCATCAACCATACCTCTGCCAACCGTTGATAATATAGTGTCTGATACAATTCCTAATCAAACACGTAGAACTGAACCAGTTTGTGATAGCTCATAGCTCACTACTAGTTCAGAATTACCTGAACACACTAGTGACATGGACATTATCGCTCCCAAGAGACCTTCTCTACACCTGGCTGATTACATGTCCAACACTTCAGTCACAAACTAACTCATGTAGTACTCTACCCAATCTCTAATTTTCTAACTATGAGTTCAATTCCCTCTATACAACCTGAGCCTTCTTGTTATGATGAAGCCAACAAACATGACCATTGGAAGCAAGCTATGTTAGTCGAACTAGCTGCACTTGAGCGCATCCATACCTGGACATTAACTGACTTACCACCGGGAAAGACTCCCATTGGGTGTCATTGGGTCTACAAAGTCAAGTTTGGAGAGGGTGGGAAGAGCAAGAAATAAGAAAAAGAGAGGACATAAGTGGCATAGGGGAGGAGAGAGCGGGAAGAGGAAGAAATAAGAAAAAGAGAGGACAGAAGTGGCACGGGGGAGGAGAGAGTGGGAAGAGGAAGAAATCTATACTACTTTAAAAAGCATGAATGGCCTCAAGAATATTTTTGAATTTTTTGAAGACAAAATTTACCTCTCTATATTTAAATTTATTGATAAAAATGAGGGCAAATAGGGTAATCAGTTATTGATATTAAATGGGTTGAAAAGAGGTAATTTTAAGATATTCAAGCATTCAATTCCCTCTCATTAAATCCAACATTTTATTTATTAACTTGCACTCATGTTCATTCAATCATATATTTAAGTCGTTTTTGTTTCTTCTCATCATTAAGTTCAATTAATTAAATCCATGCTTAATAAATTAATAATTCTAATAACATAAAAGCTTATACTTCTAAAATATACCTAGAAAAATAGTGTTTTCATCTAGGTGGTGGTATGAAATTAAACCATTTTGGGTCAAATGGGTCAATCCATGTTGCCACGATTAAATTATAAAATGAAAAAAAATTGGGAACATTTTTAACATACATATTAAACAATAATAAGTATGATAAATAAGAAATTTTTTTATTAATGATGGAAATGGAATGTAAAATTTAAAACCAATTAGAAATAAAAATATTTTCCTATTCTCTCTCATTAAATCCTATACTTAAGATATATTTTTCTCATCATTAAATTCTTGTAATTAAATCCACAATATTATTTTAATAGTATAAAAATAAATATTTTGAAAAGTAATTTGAAAACAAAAACATTTTCTTCCATTCCGATTGTGGGCAAGCAAATCGACCATTTGGGGTCAAATGAATTAATAAATAATGCCATAGTTAAATAATAAAAATTTTAAATAAATAAGTATGAAATGTAAGAAGTATTTTTATTAATGATGAAAATGGAATGCCAAATTTAAAACATACCTAGAAATGAAATGATGTCATAGTCAAATAATAAAATTTTAAAAAATATAAAATACAAAGAATCACAAAAATAAAAAATAGGGAAAAATTTGGGCGCATATCTAATGTTATACATTTATAAAAAATAAAATATTGGGTACATCTCTAATATTATACATTCATTATATTGAACAAAAATAAGTATTATACGTGGGAAATAATTTTATCAATGATGGAAATATAATACAAAATTTAATGTCTACCTAGAAATCAAATTGTTTTTCTTTCTAGGTGGTGGTTAGTGGTTTGGGTCAAATGATATCACAGACAAATAAAAGTTAAGTGTAATAAGTAAAAGTTATTTATATAATGCACATGAAATATATAGTTTAAAGGGAAAATTATAGTCAAAGCCAATTGTACATTTAAAATTAGGTTGTAGGATGACCCAAAAACCAACAAAACTCTTACAATTGACTACATTTCAAATTATAAAAACCCCCACCATGTCATCAGAGGCTTATGTAGTTATTGCCAATATGGAACTCTTAGTCCATGTTAGACACAGCAAAAAGCTTATACCAAAAATAGGTTTTCAGTTTCTCCCTCACTCCCTCTGTCTCTCGATCTCCCTCCCTTCTCTCTCACTCTCACAGTCATGTCTCGATCTGCCGCTCCATTTGTCTCTCCCACTAGCTTTGATTTGTAGCCAAATCAAAACCTCTATTTCTTTCCCTCTCTCTCTCTCTCAATCTCTCTCATTCTTCTCCCTCACTCTTCCTCTCGATTAATATCTCCTCCTCCCTCAATCTCTATCGTTCTCCCTCAGTCTTTCTCTTGCTCCCTCTCTCGTTCTTTTCTTTTTATTTTTCTTACAAACTTATATAATATTAATCAGATCGTATAAAAGAACTAAAGGGACCAACCACTTGTACAATCAAGTTATAAATTTCTATCAGGTTGGTGTAAATTTCACAGCCAAGAGTTTCTTGTGAATTTTTATCAAATTGGTGTTATCAAATTGGTGTAACACCAATTAGATAAAAATTGATATTAATCGTACCTTTTTTTATTTTTATTACACACTTATACCACTTGTAAAATCAAGCTATTTTCTTATCTAGATGGTAGGTAAATGATCCAACTTTTTAAAGAAACCAATGATGTCATAATTGAATAATAAATATTTAAAAAAAGATAGAGCACAAAAAATGAAAATGTACAGAATTTCGTTGAAAACATTTGAGAGCATTTCTAATGTTATATATTCATCAAATTAAATAAAAATAATTGTTAAAATAAAAGCTATTTTTATTTATGATAGAAATGAAATACAAAATTTAATAATAATAATAATACTAATACTAATAATAATAATACTAATACTAATAATAATAATAATAACAATTGCTATTTGTTACAAGCATTTAAGTTTGTTTTTAATCATATTGTTATTTTTGTTAATTTTCAATTTCTATCTTAACTATGATATATCTAAAATTCAATTAGTTAATATGAAGAAAAATTTTTCACATGCAACGCATGTGCTTAATTACTATAAGGAAGAAAAACCTATTCGATTCATGCATCAACTGTAGTGACAGTTCAGTATTTAGTGGAAATTTTAATTGATTACCACTAAAAAAATAATATTTCCGGCGGTAGTCACCTTACTGTCAGTTCAAAAACTGCTGCTAAAACCAGTTTTTCCTATAGTGGAAAAATAATTGCTAAGAGCATGCATTTTACAAGAGTTGAAAAACCATCCATTTACCTTGGGCTTCCCTCCCACTTTTCTAGATCAAAGAAAAAGAATGTTTGAATTATTTGATAGATTAGAAAGAAAGACTGAAGGTTGAAAAAGTAAACTTTTGAATCATGAAGCTAGGGAGACCACATCTCCACCCCACAACGTCCCACAGCACATCCCTGCCATGTATTGAGAACATCTCCTGATGATGATACCAAAACCGATGATGTCATCATCGGGAGATGCTCTCAATACATGGCGGGGAAGTTCTGTGGGGCGGAGATGTGAACTCTAAGGTAGAGGTATAATGATAAAGGTAGTCTTAAATGCCATCCTAACTTTTTGTATGTCTTGTTTCCTTCTTCCTTTAGGTACTTGTGAAAAGATTAAAAGGCTTCAAAGGTCCTTCTAGTGGGGCAAGATAGGGAAAAAAAAGGGGTTAACCGGGTAAATTGGGATTAACTTAGTAAAAATAAGTTGGATGGAGACCTGAGATTCAGAGATCCTATTCTTTTTAACGAGGCCCTCCTAGCAAAGCTAGCCTAGAGAGGGTTCTTGGGGGTGGAAAAGTATCCTTGCAGGCTGGGAAGTCCTTAGAGAGGGAGCTTGCTGGATGGTAGGCTCAGGCAAACGCATTAACATATGGGAGGACCCCTGGCTTCCTGAGGTTCCAGGATTCAGGACCATCGGGCCTAAACAGGACTGCCTAAGTCTATCAAAGGTGGAAGACCTACTTCTGCCGAACTGGTACATTCTCTGTTCATCCCCCCTATAGCTAAGAAAATCCCATATTCCCCTATTCCCTTGGGACGATAAGCTGATTTGGATTCCTAACAAGAAAGGAAATTTCTCAGTTAAATAAGCCTATTTTGTGGCTAAACATCAAACTAACTTTAACCTAGACTACAGGACAGATGTCAAGAAGTTTTGGGCAGATATTTGATCTATACCAATCCCCCAAAAAATCAGGAGTTTCCTCTGGGAAAGCTGTGTGGATGCTTTATCAGTGAAGGGAAATCTGTTTAAAAGAAATATAGCAAAAAATCCTCTGTGTCAAGTTTGTAACCAAGGTGCTGAAACGGTCTTTCATGCTTTATGCTCATGCGAAGTAGCTAGATGTTGCTAGTTTGGTTGTTTCTTGAACCTAACAAGTCAACACTTTGCGAGCAGCTCTAGCTTTAAAGTGGCTGAAATTTTGGTTTAAAACTTGCAATTCTCACAAAGAGAGGGAAGTAGAGTTGAAGACCTTTACAGCTCTAATGCTTTGGAATATCTGGTTTCATCGAAATGATATAGTGTTCAATGATTCAATCCCTAACCCAGCTCTAATACAGATGGAGGAGCTTCAGAAGATGGATCCTACATCATCACTAATACAACTCCATTCTAACAGAATAGAGGGAGCCCCCCTTTTTTGGTCCCCCACAAGAAAATTGGTTTAAAGCTAATGTTGATGGGGCTTCTGTTAACAGTAGTTCTACAGCAGTGGGTGTGGTGGCCTGGTTTACTACTTTTCTGGTCTTTTGGTAGCTGCAAATTTCGGCCAAGTTCAGGTAGGTTCAACAGCTAAAGTTGAAGCTCTTGCGGTCCCTAGAAGGACTTCTTTTTGCTAAATATCTAAACTTAAAAGGATGTAATTGTTGAAAGTGATTATTAAAACATTGTTAGCTGCTTATCAAACCAGTTTTTGGATATATTTGTTGATAGCTTCTTCCATGGTCAAGACTGTTCTGCTTTTCCTGGGTTCAGAGAGATGCCAATCAGGTGGCTGGATTGATGCTTACCGTTGATGGCTAGCTGAATGGACTGTTCTTGAGTTCAGCCCCCTTGCTTTTTAATTGTTTTGTTGTCTTTGCTGTTTTTTTTTTTTTTCCCTCTTTTTTCTTTGCTATGATTTGTGTGTCTTTTGTTTTCTTTTTGTTTCTCTGTTTTTGCGGTGTATTTGGCTTCGGCTTGTTTTCTCTTTAATGAAGATCTTAGTTATGAAAAATATTAGATGGATTGGGTTAGGTTAAGGGCCAATCTAGCTTGAACCCAAATTTGCAAGTGAACGAATCTTCTTATTATATAAAAGAAGCCATTGCTCATTTCCATGGGTTATCAAGTATTTTTCTTTTTTTATTAATTTAATGGATATTTCTTTCATGGATTATTTTGGTCAATAAAAAAAATACAATAAGAAAGTACTTAACATGAGTCTTTGCTTATCTCTGTCAGTTCGATTTTGAAATTAATTTTGCAACTTTGATATTGATCTCATGCCGTCATGCACTATAAGCACTTCTTTTCTTCGCTTTATAGGGCTATACAATCACAGGAGGATCCCCCAAACCCTTAACCCCCCATGGCATTGGGATTTGATTCCAAGTGTCCACTACCACAAGCCAGAGAACCTATCAACTGATTACCGAAAAAAAAAAAAAAACTATCATCAACTGATTCACCAACATTTGGCTCTCATGCTAAGCAGTATCTATGCACTTCTATTTTTTCATACTTTCTTCCTCTTAAAAAATATACTTTTAAACAGCAACCCATGCATGGCATGGGTCACTGCTAGTAAAGTCAATACAAAATATACACATATTTGCATAATACAAGTACACAATGTGCGCATATATAAGCATTCATATATTATCGAAGGTTATGGCCTTGGGTGAATTCCGATTAGCTGACCGCTTTAACTATTCAGCAGGCTATGAAACCAATAATCAGGTTCTACTCAAGTAATAAATTCATGAGCCCCACCGTAAAAGATGCAGGCCCATATATTTAATACTGGCATGGACCTTATCATTGATTCCACAGCCCATTGAGCAGCTAAAGCGTACAGTTACACCTTACTCGCCTTGGGTTGGATTGGGCTCAGACCATATTTGGGTTATCCAAAGTCACAACCAAAGTTAAATCAAGCCTGAGTTTCCAAGCGAGGCTCATCTGGATCCCGAGAACAATAGCCAAGCCCAAGGGGGTGCAAGGCTGGGTTTGGATCAGGATAGGATCTGGATGGGCACGTCCAAGTGGCAAGCTAATTAGAATCAAGTTATCGGACATTAACAGCAGCATACAAGACCAGAGATTTCCACAAAATACTGAAGAACATAGTATTGACAAGAGAGGAGAAAAGGGATATTTAGGCTGTGTTTGGTTGCAATGCAAATAAATTTGCATTGATGTGAAACTGTGGCAGTGCAAATGATTTGACTGTAAATTCTGACCTATTTTTGTTTCAAAATTGAGCTAGCTTATTTTGTTTAATTGCATTACAAATGAACTAAATTAAGACATGAAACAGAATAAAATAAAACCCAAAACAATAGTAAATAAAAATTTGCATTTTTTTCATTTGCACTCCCATGCATTTGTACTAATGCAAATAAAATTGCACTGCAACCAAACATGGCGATACACAACGCTTACCTTTTGCTTCCATAAAAAGGAATGGGGAACAAAGACAAAGTTTTAGCCGTGAAACACTTGGAGCAAATAAAGGGATTTTAAAATGAAAAATCTCTTTGGATTTAGTTGCTTACACCATCCATTAAGGCTTTGTTTTGATAAACTTTTGCTTTGCTTTTGAGCTTTCTGTTATGAAAAACAAAATTGAGGGAACAAAAGTAGAGCCAAAAAAAATACAGAAGTGCCTATTAAGGAGGGCTTTCCTGAGGCAGCTTTTGGCTTTGCAAGGTGGGCCTTACATGAATGGCTTATGAGTGATGTTTTGTGAAAAAGCAAGAAAGCCCAAATTTATGTCCATCCCAAAAGACCACTTTACCTTGAAGCTTCATTTTTCATTTAGTAGCTTCTCCAAAGACGCTCAGTAAAAGCATCTCAACCAAAGATTTGTTGACCCATTTAGTAGCTTCTCCAAAGCAGCTCAGTGAAAGCAGCTTTGGGCTTTGTGAGGTGGGCCACACCCATACAGCCTATAAACAATGTTTGGCGAAATATTGGGAAAGCCAAATATACTGTAGTTCAGCCAAAACAAAAATATAAAAAATAAAAAAATAAAAAAGACTTTCTGGTGAAACTTCTTCTAGTAGCTTCTTCAAAGCGGCTCAGTTAAAGAAGCTCAATTAAAGCTTCAGTCCTCCGAGGCCCTACAATTAAGACTTTATCCTTTTCGGCTTTGAAAGAACACACATCCTTAACCTTATCCAAATGCAACCTAAATTTGATTGGAAGTACTTTCAGTAGCAAAGAAGTTTCAATTTTCAATTTGGGGTTGCTATTGCCACTCTCTTCATATTCTTTTGTCTTGATCCAATTAATCTTAAGAGTACATTATACAGATAGATATTTCAATGAGAGAAATTTTTGTAGAGCAGGCTGAAAGATAAAACAAAACTAAACCAAAGAACTCATGCATTTAAGAGGTTACACAGCACGAAAATATCAAAAACTGTTTTAGGTTGATTGTAACGTGACAACTGAAGAAAAACAAAATTGTTGAAAGAAAACAAAGACAGATATATACATAGATAAAAAGGACAATATTTATGTTGTTTGTCACTTTATACGCATGTGAAGTTGAAGAGAGATTCTATGATGCAAGACTTGCAGAATTCAAAAATCATGCAACCTAATAAATATATAACCCCAACAACCAGTATAAAAGCACTTTTCTACTCAAAACTATCCAAGGTTTGCCCTTCAATGACCAGGAAAAAAAGCCTAGAAAATAGTTCTGCGTAGAAGTAATTGAGGGGTGGACCTTGGCGCACCGATTGCGTTGCTCCATTCGGGCTATCAGGGTTCAAATCTTGAAAATAGCCTCTGTACAAGGGTAAAGCTACATACATGTGTCCCTCCTCAGATCCCGCATTGGCGGGTGCCTCATGCAACGGGGTGCCCATTCCAATTCGATCAATTCAATGTTTTTTTCTGCAAATTTGAGGTTCTGGATAAGGGATACTATCACATACTTGGGCCCCGTTTGGTTAGCAGGAATAGGGGATGGCCATTCCAATTCCAACTTTTTGGTTGGGTGGAATCGGAGTCCCATTCCCATTCCTGCTGGAATGGCATTGCCCCATTTTTGGGGATGGCCATTCCCTGCCCCTCCATTGAGAATGAAATCTCATTCCTACTGATTCTAATTCACATTTCCATTCCTGTTTGAACAAAACAGACTATAGAAATGGATTATTCCAATTCCGATTCCAGAAGATTTCGATTCTGATTTTAACTGCAAAACAAACGAACCCTTAATTTAGTACCCAAAATTAAACCAAGCGAATTTCATGTTTTTGCAAATTTGAGGCTCTGGATTAAGGAATAGTCATTTCAATTCCATGAATTAAGGTGGAAGTGATTCAATACCAGTTCCACCTAGTTACTCAAACATAGATTACTAGTCAACAGTCCATCACCTAGACAATTCTTTGATTGCAGCAAGAATCCTATCCTTATGGAACTTAATTCAAATGCTGTGAAAAACAAATTTTCATTTCTACAAGGTTTCCTAACATTCACAAATAAAATATGTGATCATTTACTAGAAGTTCAATTAATACCATTCTAGTAATCAAAATATGCAATTTATTCCCATCTCCTTGTTACAGTGAGAGTGAGGGACCCACAATTGGATTGAGCCTAGCTAGGTACCTAAGAGATTGGCAACACCTCTATCTAAGTTTTATGTAATTGAACAACCCTATAAACTCTTTAGATGAAAGACCAGAATGGTCACAGACTCTTTAAATAGGGTTTCCAATTCTGTAGGAGATATTCATTGAGCAGTCTATCCTGGTATACTCATTTGCTATGTGCTTCTATTGCATTTATGGAGGCTGTCACCATATGTAGACTGTAATAATAGATCTTCTATGGCCAAAACCATGAGAAGCTGTGTAGATGACCAACATATACATGTGAGTTGTTGCCCTTGAGCTTCTTCCATGTCAGGGTCCTCTTGGGGAACAGAAAGTGGTACCACAGGTTTACATGTTACATGCTCCCCTTACAAGGCAGAAATGAATTGAGAAGGAAGAAACAGAACTAATTAAGGGGGAGAGAAATAGAAGAGAAGTAGGAGAGACAAGACCACAAACCAAACCATATTATCCCTGATCCTTATCATCAATTCATAATCACCCAACCTAAACAAAATTAATATCATTTCAATGACTGAATGAACCAAAACATCACATGGTCAGCCATGCTCTCAGAGATCAAACTCGGGCCGGTATCATGTGATTCAGCCATGTGCCTCTGAACGGCGAAACGATGTCGGCTTCGATGTGACATTCGAAATAATAAGCCATCAAGCAGGCCCATATGGTCATGTTTGATGAATGTTAGACGTGTAATCTCCAACTTTGGTCTGGTGTCTGTGGTCCTCCCCTGGTCTCTGGATCTGGAGAGACTAGAGCCTGATTAACATAATGTGTGTTAATGTCAGCTCCTTTGATATCTCCTTATGTACTCATAGTTTGGCTACAAAGGCTCACCCTGTGACTTTCATTGTCTGTAACTTGGCAACCCAACAAATTGATTGAAGCATACCCAGAATTAAACTGCTTCATATTGTTATTAGGTTAAGATCAAGCTAAATTGAATTACAAGAGAGAAACTGTTTGATATGCACTAATCCCTTCTCACTCACTGTTCATCAATCTTCTCGATCTCCAGCTTCAAAGGAGTGGATTCAATGGTTGTGGTCATTTAATCATCTTGATTTAATTGTGACCCATTAAACGATGGATCAACATCCATTGATTCTGAACCACACTTATCTTGATGATCTTTTCATGGACTAGTCTTTTCTTGTCTGGTCTACAATGACCCTTGAATCAGGAGGATCGTATGTTTGTCCTTAATTAGTTCTATGTTACGCATGCGTAATTCAATTATTTGTACCGGAGCACCATTTGGGTAGGTCACTTGCAGCAATCGTGAGCCCCAATTGGGAGTACTACGTTGATATGTTTGGAGATAGATTAATGTGAAACTCACTCATAGATAAGCATTCATCCAATTTCTGAAGAGTGTAGTAGAACTGTAGATAAAAAACAAGGGAAGATGATCGATGAACAACCACTGAAGAGAAAAGCTAGAAAGAAGGCCCATACTTCGAGGCCCATGATCAGAACCTGAGC